AAAAAAAAAAAAAAAAAAAAAAAAAAAAAGTGTCCCATGGCCAATACTAAAGAAAAACTGAATTAAGTTTCAGAAAAAAAAATCATAAAAATCAGAGCAGTTTTAAAGAAGTTCAAGGGACCAGTTAACCGCTGAGACATACCAGCACCGACCTCGTGGAAGTTAAGGTGATGATTTTTACTTGCAAAGTAAAACGCTAGGAGCACTGCCTGGGCTCACAAATACGCAAGCGTTTAACTGAACATTAACCATTCCCGAGGAGGACGGCCGCTCAGGGAGACTTAGCCTCGCAGCTGCGGCCCGGCCTCCGCGGATGTAGGGCGCACTGGTCTCTGGGTGCGAGGAGTGGCTGACTCTGGAAAGCGTCAGCGCGTTGTCAGGCAACCGGTTCTCAACACCACCCGACAGGGCGAAGAAGACCGGTGGCCCGGGAGTCTGCACCGCGTAACTAGGGGACAGGCTGCAGCTGGCCGGTGCAAGACCCCCACGCACCCACTGCAGACCCCGGCCTCTGTAACCAGACACCGAGCTCCCGACCTGGGCGTCGGGACTCCGGTACCACCTCAGCCCGCAGCCAGCTCCGGGAAACCCCGCCCCAAGCCCCCGAGCTGCCGCCCAGGGACGCGTCCCCACGCCTCAACCTCCGTGACTCCGGGACCTCCATCGTCCTGCCCAGCAGGATCGAGCCCCGGCGTCCGCCACTCCAGGACCCCGCCGGCCCGCTCGTCACGCGAGCTGAGCCCAGATGACCCGGCCCCCGCCCGCGGCCAGCTCCAGTCCCGGAGCCGTCGCCCCGCCCGCCCTCAGGCCGCACCGCCCGACCTGCTCCCCAGACTCGGCCGGCTGACTCTTCCTCCGGAAAGCAGGCTCAGGCGGGGGTGACGCACAGCCACCCAGGGCGGCTCTCCGCTACCCGCCCGGCGCTGGAACCCTGCGACAAGCCGCCCGTCTGAGCCCCGCCTCCCGGCCCAGCCCTCAGCCCGCCTTTCGCCAACCGCCCGGCCGGTGCCTCCTCCACGGGATTTGCCGGGAAAGATGCGCGACAGAGGGCGCCCCCAGCCGCCTCGGAGGCTGCACTGCAGCTCAGCCACCTAGCTCCCCAGCAGCCCTCTTGAATCTCCGGCGCCAAGGCTAAATCGCTTCCAGCCTCTCCGAACCCTACCCCCAGGAGCAGGCGGATCTACGAAGAGTGTGTGACCCTAGAAAGAAAAATGGGGAAGGAAAGTCGTGGCACATCTCTCCAAGGCAGTGCTCCTAGCCCAGGAGGCTGGTCTACCTTATGTCCTAGACTTGCATTATAATTTCAACGTTTTATTTAGTTTAAACTAAAGTGACCCTATGCTACCACTAGAAAAGAGATATCTAGCTTTGTAGGAGAATTTAACTTGTTATTAATGTATTCTAAAGGCCCTAATTTAACTTCCATTGTAAGGTTGTTGCGTTTGAGGTTTCTCTCCCTCCTTCTCTTTCCCTCTCCCTCCCTTCTCCTACCCTTTCTTTCCTCTCTCCTTTTCCCTCTCCCTCTTTTCTCTCCCCCTTTCCTCTCCTCTCTCCTATTGAGCAATCAACCCAGGGTCTTCACATTGAATCACATCTCCAGGTCCTTATATTTTTTTTATTTTGAGACAATCTCTTTCTAAGTCGCTAAACTGTCCAGTCCGGGATCCAACTTACAAGTCTCTTGCTTCAGCCTCCCAGGCATGCAACATCACTCCTGATTCCTCCTATAAGGTGATTTTAAAGGAAAATAATCTCCAGAGGAAATAAATATATAACCCACACGCTGTTGTATACAGTCGTTTCTGCTTTTAACTACGACATGCACCATACAAAGTCAGACACAACACAAAAGTTATAGTGAAAAGGGAAATGTCATTACTACAAAGCACAACTACCGTTATAAAAACAGCTACAGAGCTTTACAGACACCATAGAAAATCTAGGGAAAAGTGCAGAAAAGATGCATGGGAGAGATCTCTTAGTGTGTTTTTAAAGATCAATAGGAGCTCCCTGGCAGAAATGTCAGAGAAGAGCGTTTCCAGCAATGTTGAACACAACCTGCCTTGATAAGCCAGTTAAGAAAAAGCTCCAGGAAGGACTAAAGACTTGAAACTGAAGAATCCCGAAGAGAGCAGTTTATGAGGAACTGTGATGCTTCATCTAACCCCCAGCACGATTGCTATTAAATACTCACAGGGGTTAAGGGTAAAATAATAAACACAGACTTGGTCCGTGTCTTGAAACTTAGAATCTAGAACGGAAGGGGAGATAAGGCAGACCAGTCATGAAAACTAACATAACGCGACTAAATATCGCATTAACTATGAGGAGAAAGGGGTTGATGGAATTAATTTTACAACTAACTGCAAAGGCAGTTCACAAGAGTGAACTTAAGACTAAACTTGTACCTAGTTATAAAAGAGTATTGGAAATGTTTAGAACAATAATAAATGTATCATCTTAATAAGCCAAGAGGGGCTGGGAAGAGAGCTCAGAAGAATAAGCGCTTACCTGGTAAGCGCAAGGGCCTGAGGTCAATCCCCGATTCCGCCAAAAAAAAAAAAAAAAAAAAAAAAAAAGCCGAGAATGTTCACTGCCTCCTTGCAAAAAAGTGAAAGCCGGTAGGAGCAAAGTACCAAACCACCAAGAGCCTGCGGAGATTTACCAAGGTGCAATCATTTAAAATAGATGGTATGTTTCTCTTCCTCTCCAAAAATCAACACCCAGAGCTACTTACATCTCAATTTTTCGCAAGACATCCTCACTGTTCAGTCTTTCAAGATACTTTTTCAGGCACCCACAGCCACGCCCACTCCCCCCCCCCCGCCTAAGGTTCCGCCCACATCTAACATGGTGGATTTAGGCCTGCGCAGTACAAATAGAGACGCCCAATTCCAGTTCCTGGCATAGCCGTATCAAGCCCTTCTTCCGGTACGACGGGCCATACCATTACCATACCGAATCGTTTTGTTTCTCCTAATTCACACATAAACTTTTCCAAGCCAGTTCGTTCTCACTTCATCCACACGACTATTATTCGCTCTCCAGTTAATCACAGTAATTGCTTCTTGTAGCACTTACCGAAGAGCCCCTACCACGCCCGAGTGGTTTGAACCAGCTCTACTTCCTGTTTTAGGTGTCATGGCTGCCTCCGGAATCTAGAAGAGTTTGCATCAGTAGTGAGGAAGGTCCGAGGCCCACATCCCGAGACCTAGCGAAGTAAAGTTGGATTTTGGTTGGTTGAGGCGACAGTTTCTCCAATTCCTCGGCGATGGCGGCGTCCGGGAGCGGTATGGCTCAGAAAACCTGGGAATTGGCCAGCAACATGCAGGAAGCCCAGAGTATCGATGAAATCTACAAATACGACAAAAAACAGCAGCAAGAAATCCTGGCAGCGAAGCCCTGGACTAAGGAGTGAGGAGGTCCCTGGCGAGACGCTGGGGAGGGGAAGGGATGGCGAGAGTTTAAGAGACTCCAGGGGTAGGGGGAGTTGGGGCGGGCGGAAAGCGCCGCTTCACCCGAGGGAATGGGGAAAGAGTATGCGCGTGGGAGATTCTGAGCTCCTCTCAACCCTCCGCTAAGGCCTGCTCTGACTCCGTTTTAAACTCTTTTACCCGTTTGCCCCTGGAGGATGTAAGAGGAAAACAAGCACTGACTTAAACTGTCACTTCTCAACATCACTGTTACCGTATATGCTACCTGTTCTGCCTTGGATCCATGTCAATGGGGTCAAGGGGCCTTCAGCTGATCACAAACTGGGATTGTAACTGAAGAAAACTAATCAATAGGCCAGGGTTGTTTTGTTTTTTTAATGTAGTTGGTACAGGGTCTCACTATGCAGCTCACACTCATAGTGATCCTCCTGTTTCAGCCTCCCCAGCCCAGGGATTACAGGCTTGCGCCACCATGCCCGGTCTCCGTAGCCCCCGGGCACGGGGCTGATGCGCCATGCGGTACCTGGGATCGAACCCTGTTCCCTGAGCTGTCTCGCCGGCCCCAGGCCAAGGGTTTTGAAAATAGCTAGGAGGCATCTTTTAGAAATCTACAGTCGTTTCTTATTGCTAGCAATTATAGGCACTTTAAGGCTCTACCCCGGGTCTAAAATGTTACTGCACCAGTACACATATACTAGAAGTTACAAAAATTAAGTTTACTACCTTTTTAAAATCCAAATAGCCCCAGGAGTGATAAGACTATAGAGTTATTTACGCATAACATTACTTTTTTCCTGAGATTTTATTAGGGATGAGTACAAAACCACAGTAATGGAAAAATAGAACTGTAGTCCGCAAGATAACATACTTCATCTGCCTGGTTTTTGTTTGTTTCTTTGTTTGCTTGGTGTTTTTAGTTTTGGTGGGATTGTGGGTGTGGGTGTGTGTACGCATTTGCCAGGCAAGTGCGGTACCACTGAGCCATATCCCCAGCCCCATTTTTGTTTTTTGAGTCAGGGTCTGTGAGAGATGCACCTGCCTTCGCCTCCCAAGTTCTGAGATTAGATTACAGGGGTGCACCACTACACCCAGCCGTATGCCACGGTTTTTTACAAGGCTGGCTTTTATTGTCGGTATTCAGTTTTAGAAAGTTTATTAAGTTCTTAATTTGGGAGGGGGCAGTGCTGAACTAGGGATTTTCCTTTAATGTTCATGACAAATGACAACCCAGTACTATATTTTCATTGCCTTTTTAAATTAGTATAAGTGGAGTACACGTAAAATTTATTTATCTGTAAAACAAAAATAAAACCTACCTGATAATATCATACAGATTAGATGAAGTAATACATAAAAAGGGTCCCAAATTTGTGTGATGGGAGCACAATAATGGTTACCTGTTTTCTTTTCCCCACTAACTGGGAAAGCCAACACTTCATATCATGACTTCCAAGACCAAATATCCCTGTCTTTCAGCTGTGGTTGAAATCTGCCAAAGGCTGGGAATTAAACTTAGTTGGTTTTTGTGGGCAAGCACTTTTAAAGGCTTCTCGGAGACATTGACTAACCATGTTATATAGTCTGATTAATTGTCTGATTGTCTGGTTAATTCTGTAGCAGGCTAATGCAGTCTGTTAAATATCTGGAAGTTTGTTAGCTTGCCTCTCAGTCTGTGGCTATAGTTACAGTAAGTATAGCTTTCTCAGGCAGCATCAATGATAGCAAAATGTAATTTTATTCAGGAATTTAGTCACTTCCAATAAAACATACTCTAGAGTAGTGATCGTGGGAATTACACTTTTTATTTTGAGGCTGTTATCACAAAGAAGCCAACCCATTCAAAACATTGGTCATTTGAGAGCACCATACGAAACAGATTGTTAATGCTAATAATAGCACTTGTTAATGTTTTAGTACATATCAGGCACTAAACCAAGCATTTTATCCTTTTTATTGACTTTATTTAATCCTAATGACAAGTTTGACATTTCCTGCTTACAGATAAAGGAACAGAGGCATAGACATTAAGCAGTTGGACCACCATCACAATTGGGGAGTACTAGATTCAGCCATGTGCTTGGCACAGCCCACATTCATAAGCAGTAGGGTAGGAATTAGGCCTCAGAAGGTTTAGGCACCAACATTCAGTCAGAGTCAAAATTAGAGATATGATTTCAGATTAATAAAAGAAAAGTCTGTTAAACTGATCCTGTTTATTATTGATCATTATTCCTTCATCTCAATAGTTTGAGAGTTTTCCCTTCCTCCAAGGGGGATTACTTCACAGACTGTCTCATGTTTATTGCTACCAAAGCCTGTAGGAACTCTTCCTACTTCCTTTTTCTAATCTATATTTTATGCACCCATTCCATCCCTGCAAATCCCTTCCCTACTCAATATATTCACAAAAACTGTCTTTTGAAATTGTACTTCATATAAGAAATTCAGTTACACCCTGATTTTTTCTTTCTTTCTTTTTTTTTTTTTAGTCACCATTACTTTAAGTACTGTAAAATCTCAGCACTGGCTCTGTTGAAAATGGTGATGCATGCCAGATCAGGAGGCAACCTGGAAGTGAT